CCGCGCACCAGCGCACCAGCCGGCACCAGCGTTGCTGATTGGCTTGCGTGCCGGGCAGCCCAGTCCTGCAGGAGGCAAGGTGGGGTACGACAAGGTTGAGTGGGACATGGAGCCCGCTGACAGCGACGAGGGGCAGGGTGTGCGGCTGAGCTACCGGAGCAAAGACGGCGAGGAGGCGAGGCGCCGCCGCGCCCGCCGCGCCTGCCGCTGCGCCGTGCCGCACGCGCGCCGCCGAGTGCGCTGCCCCGAGGCTCGCACCGCGCCCCTGCGCAGGCAGGCAGGCGCGTCTGCTCTCTCCACCCAGCTCGCGCAACCCGGCGCCGCACCAAGCGCCACCTGCCACCTGCCTGCCCTCCCGTGCCCGTAGGGCTTCCCCGGTACCGTCCAGGTGTCAGTCACCTACACCCTCACCCCCGGCAACGAGCTGATCACAGAAATGCGCGCCACCACAGGTCTGCTGGTCGGGCTGGCAGCCTCCCGCCAGCCTGCCTGCTCGGCGCCGCCCTGCCCTCCAGCCAGCCTGGCCCCCAGACCCTAGCTGGTTACCCAGACGCCAGCCTGGTCCCCAGCCGCTCGCTGGGTCGACATTGGAGGAGCCTGGAGGCGCGGCTCGATCCGCGACAGCCTCCCTGCCCCACCCTGCAGACAAGGCCACGCCCCTCAACCTGGCCCAGCACAGCTACTTCAACCTGGCAGGGCACGGCAGCGGCGATGTGCTGGACCACCAGCTGACCATCCACGGAGACCACTACACGCCGGTGAGCGGGCTGGCATCAGCTGCTAGGCGCTGCTAGGCGCTGCTGTGCCGGCGGTTCGATGGATGGTATGGCTGTGGGGCGGGCTGCGGGTGTGGGGATGCCCGCCAGTCGGGCTGCAGCAGCTGCAGCGGCCCGCCACAGGCTCGCGTATTGCGCCGGCGGCCGGGGCGGCGAACTCCCGGCTGCCGACCTGCTGTGCCCTGCCTTACCCTGCCTTGCCCTGCCTTGCCCCTCTGCCTGTACCCTGCTTGTTGAACAGGTGGACGATGTGTCCATCCCCACCGGGGACATTGCCCCTGTGCGGGGCACGCCCTTTGACTTCACCTCGCCGCACACGGTGGGGGAGCGGATCGAGGATGTGCCAGGTGTGTGTGTGGGGGGGTGGGGGGTGGGGGGCGGGGTGCCCGGAGGAGGCGGTGGTGTGGTGGTGGGGGGGGTTGGCAGGGCGGCAACTGGCTATGTTGTTTCGTGGCTGGCCGGCCCCGCTACCGCCTCCAGCACACCCTGCCCCCACGCCTGAACACCCGAAACCCCAGCAGCGGCCCTCCATGCCGTCCCGTCCAGGCGCCCACAGCAGCACCGTCCTCCCGTCGACCGCCCGCCGCGCTGCTGCGCTGCCCGCCCCGGCCCGGCCCTTGCCCCGCAGG